CAACACGGGATGGGAGGGCGGGTAGGATTTCGTGGTGACACCATTGCACGGGTACAAGAGGTCTCGCTTGTGGACATGGAAATAAAGAGCGAGTTCCGTCACGATATGTTGGCCGACTTTGTGTTGTGTTCCAATTTCCTTCTCATCATCCGGTCTCCATAAAAACAGGGAAAACAAACACTTGTCTCTTTCCTACTCATTCTCTTCCCCCTCGTCATCTCCCCACAAGCGTTGTCCTGTTGACAAAGTCCATCGCAAGTGCGCGTGGAGGATTACCGGTTCTTGTCCCCCTTCCCTTGTTGATGTTGACGTCCATCAATGTCCACCGCCCAACAGCACTAAAAGCCACCCCCTGTAACGCAATGCCAGGAAGCGCGCCGGCTGGGCTCGTTGGCGGGCCTCTTGGTTGACAGAGAAGCCCAGTCTAAAACATCTTGGGTTCGGCTTTTCAGAGCTCAGAGGGCGACGTGGCGTTGTATTACAGTGGTATTATGCAGCACCGAGCTATCCAATGGACGCTGCAGGAACCGGACAGGGAAGAGGTGTCAGGGAACCGCATGTTCTGTTTTCCAAGCCAATCTGGGCGAAACCGTCTCTTCAAATTGCAACAAAAAAACGATAGTAACTCGAGCGATAAATCCGTGGGTGGGAGGGCCATTTCGGGTCACAATCCAATGATAGTCAGCCAACCATCGCAAATGCGTCAGCGCGCATTTTAGGCCATCGTCGACAGCACCTCAAACGCTATGGAGTTGCTGGAAACCCGCGTAGCTTTTGCGCCCCGGAAAACGTACCAGCATGCTTCCATGTTCAACAAGTGTTTTGGTGATTCCACATCAGCAAAACAGCACACAGAATGGCCGGCGGCTTTCCCTTCCTAGTCCCGCGTCCGCGTCCGCGGGGATTGAGGGAAGGATGATCCAATCCAACACAGACTGACAGGACCCCGGCCAACGGACCGCCGGACACGGCCCAGGTTCACACAGGTAGGGCTCGTGGTCTGACACCCCCCCTTCCGATCACATATCTGGTCATCAAAAAGGGAGGGAGGGCTATGCCCCGGATCGTTGTTCTGGTCCCCTACTTACATCCTTTTTGAGAGGGAGGGGAAAGGAAATTCTCTTTTCTTCCCAAACTTATTTTCTTTTCCTCTTACAATCAACTTTTGCCACATACTTCATCTCATCATTGATCCGTCCCAAGCAAGCTGAAGACAAAGTGTAGTATCAGGGAGAGAGGCCTCACAAGCAACCATTACCACTTCACCCTCTCCTACCTACTTATCTCTACATTATCTATCTCGCGTTATAACAAAACTCTTATACACTACACATCATCATTATCATCGCCAAACACCATCGTCAACAACCATTGAACATGTCTAGACACCACACAGGGCCGCTCTCAGTGGCCACACCCGGAGACGGCGTCAGTCACGGCAGACAACAACAGCAAACACAGCAGCAGCAACAACTAACATCCCACTCACAACATGTACCCGCACCCCAACAAACAAAATGGCACTCCCCTCACCCTTCCTATCAACACCAACACCAACACCCCCATCTAGCCTCCTTCGTCAAACCCGAACACACCCCCATGAACAGTCACAATGATGATTACAGTCACAGTCACAGTGAAACAGCCTGGTCTGCCCGGAAAAGCGGCGGCAGCATGGTGTCGGCAACATCAGCCAGCTCGCGCTCTCCTTCACCGGGGACGCATTCCGACCTGGGATCCATCAGTTATGCTGCCTCCACCAGCAGCTTGGCCACTTCGCTGCAGCCGGGTACGGAGTGTAATTTCCAGGAGGGCGATATGGAGCAGCGTGAGAGTGTGGGGATGGGGAATAAGTGGAATGATGAGTAAGTCGGTCCCTGAAACGACGCAGTCTAGTAGCAATACATAATGTTAATCAGGTTATATAGAACATCAAGATCCCCCATCACGCCCGTCAGCCGCTTCACTGGTCGCCCCGCCAAAAAGGGCCGGTACGCACCTAACGGCACCGGCGGCGGCGGCGGCCCCGGGAGCGGAAGCAGCAGCAGCAGCAGCAGCGCTTCAGGAACGCGCTCGCCCTCCCGTCCAAGCTCTTTGCGAAACGCCATGTTTGCTGTCGACCCCTCAGCTCCCCATGGGCCTCACCCCCGCTCAGCAGAAGCAGAAGACATGATGTCCTGCGAATCCGACGCCGAGAGCGGCGAATCAGAAGACGACGACATGGACATCATGGGTGGCTACCTTGACGATAACTCGTCAGAAGAGGAAGAAGAAGAGGAAGACGACAACGACTGGTCCGGGCAAAACGGCAACTTGGAACGTGCGGTGATTGAGGCGGTCAATGGGGATATGCCGCTGGCTGCCTATCTGATTCCCATTCTGCACAGGGATTATAGCTTGGCCGTGAAGAATAAGGTTGAGAGTTGGCAATTCGGGAACACAGGTTCGGGGACTAGCGGTGGTGGTGCCCAGAACCTTCGAGAGAGGGGCAACTCGGATGCATCGAGGGGTGAGAAATCTTCTTATACCAACTCACCACCCGGAGGCTCTGGGGCCAACGGCAATGGAAACTCACGAAAGAGGAGACGGAGGTCCGACTCAGATGGAGGAGGCAGGGAAGGTAGGGGATTTGGTGGCGGTGCAGGAGGTGGTGGACGGGGTAGTGATGATTGGGGAGGAGGTGGAGGTAGAGGTGGTGATGGTGGTGGTGATGACGGCGATGAAGACGAGAAGAACATCGACACAGGATCTGGTCCAGGCGTGGCTGGCAACGAAGAGTCCCAACCGATGCTGGCGTGTCCGTTCCACAAACGGGACCCGGAAAAATACGGGATTCAGCAGACCAATTCGGCGAATGGGAAGAAGCACAAGTACAGGGCGTGTACGGGGCCGGGGTTCAAAAGCATTCAGCGGTTAAAGTGAGTTCCCGCATCTCGCCCCAAGACTTGGCTTATCGTAAAGTGTGTGTGGCCAGAGTTGACCGACCGGTGATATAGGGAACATCTGAAACGGGTACATTCACCCGTCCAATGTAACCGCTGCTACAAGATCTTTCCGGGGACAGATCGAGCAACTTGCCTCGCCAACTTGTCAGAACACCAGAAAGAAAGCGACGCGTGCACGCTGGGGGATCCGTCCCAGAAGGAAGGCATCGATGCAGTCCAATGGGCAGCTCTCGAGCGACAAAACCGCAAGAAGAACCAGGAGGCGCATAAGCTGGAGAAGTGGTTTGAGATCTGGGACGTGCTTTTTCCCGGTTCCAACCGTCCTGAAACTCCTTGTGAGTATGCTTTTTCTTTTGACCAACTTTTCTCTCAAAACGGGAATACTGACAATAGCCAGGGCACGACATCAAACCCCGAATCACCCCCTTCTCCCCATCCAAAGACGGTGACGCCTTCTCCAAGCTCTTCCTTGACATTCTTGACCACAAGATCCAGCATCAAGACATTGACTTTAACTCAATGGGGACCGACATCGTCCGCGAGCGCCTCAAATACGTCGTACAGCAAACCTTCAAAGCCTATGTCTCGCTCCACGGGCACCTCTCGACGGAAACCTCTTCCTCAGAACTCTCCAACGGTCCTTCCGGCGGCGGGCGCAATCGTCTCTCGATAGTAGGCGGCTCCTCCACTCACCTTTCGGCCCCCGCCACCGCCGCCTCGCATCAAATGAGCAACACCACCACCGGCACCGCGCCGACCTCGATCGGAATGGGTACCCGAAACAATAACCCCCAAGCCGCGCAACAACAAATGAACCCGTACGCGCAACATGGGCTCCCAACTTCACCATATCACTCTCACTCCCACTCACACAGCCATTACGGCCACCACTCACCCGCCACCCCTCACCAACCCCAATTCATGGCCCACTCCCCGCTCAACGCAGCAGCCATGTCCGCCGCGGGTTACACCATGGCAGCCGAAGACCCGTCCATCGCGTCCGCTTCTGCTGTGGGCGTTAACGGTGGTGGCCCAGCCGCCAACTATTTTTACACCAGCTACGCCATGTTCCCGCCGCCGCCGCCGCACCCGGCGACGGGCACGCATGCGCATGCGGCTTGGGGAGCGCCGGGGCAGTTCGTGGCGGCGCACCACCCCGCGGCTGTGCAGCAGTTTGGGATGCCGCATCCTGCTCAGCAGCAGATTGGCTCGGTAGGGCCGCATGGGAGTGTCGGGCAGGTCGGGCAGGTGACGCCGGATCATATGGACGTGGGGGCTTATCAGTTTGAGGTTGAGGCCGGAGTTAGTGCTTTTGATTAGTGAGCTGGGAGGTTGGTTGTTTGTAAACTGCATTTTGGACTGGGCCTGTTTGGTTTCAGTGATTTGGGCTTTTGACGGCGTACGGAAGGTAAGAAGGAAAGATATAGGATTGGGGATCGATAGGCAAGTTTAACGGGCCTGGATATGCATCATCATCAGTTGTTTTTGTGGGCGCAAAAGGAGTTATAGGCCATCATCATTGTTTTGCATCACCTTTGGCTTTATTGCTAGGGTCGGCATTCTGATATTTAGGTAGTCGTCAGTTAGTGATGGTGATGGAGGCATGCATCGAGGAGGACTTGCAAGATATGGCGGAGCCTTTGAGGGACTCCGAAAACAAAATAAATGGTTTATCAAAGTAATCAGCGTTTAAAAAGTGCTGGACTTCTTGTGAATCACCCGTGACAGACAAGATATGAAGCTTTGGTCGAAGGAAGGTCAAAAGATGTCGATGAGAAAAGGAACAGAAAGTCCAACCACGTGCCAGGAACAGAACACTCGAAAGCGAACAAGTGACGAGAGAGGGGACCCCGCAGCTGGCTTGGCGTCGTCCCTGCTAGCATTTTCTGCGCAAGGAAATTGCCGGCCTTGGATGGTGAAGACAGGAACACGAGCGAGGGATAGTAAACAGACTGTATTTGTCCTCAAGATAACCATGAAGCCTCAAGGCAAGTGACCGCAAGAGGTCAAGCCCATTTTTGGGGTTTTGAACTCTTATGACCTCCTGAGCAATCGCATGAAGCATGACTTGGGCCCCTCTTTACGGATACAATCTATCTTTCCTTACATTGCAGTGGAAATCTGTGTATGTGGTTCGAATAGTACCTAGTCCATGTTGATGGTGGTGTTTTTGGTCTCACGATGACTTTGATGCCAAGAGCTGACGACTGCAAACAATGCAAACAATGCGTGACCAACACTGTCCTTTTAAAAAGATCGGCAAGCTCACCCGATGTCTGAGACTCCACATTGCAGCAGGCAGGAAGCTAATGTACCTGTACGCTAGTAGGTGCCGTGCTAGCCATGCAACCATGCAACACACTGCAAATCTTCAGCGGTCATTCGCTAGAAACGAACCCAACAAGCCCTGGAAGTAGTTGCGACATTGGAACCTTTTTCTCGATCTTCAATCCGGTCCTGTCATTCGCGCAATTGCATGCGACTTGCAATTTCCGCTTATCGCTCTCTTCCTTTCAATCTTCTTCCACTTCCCGACTTCCCCTCTTTCCGACCACCATTCTTTCTTCCTTTCGAGGAAACCTCAACAATCTACCCCTCGCTTCAACCAAGTCAAGTCTGTCGCCATTGACGGCACCTTCGAGATACAGACAGACCCGCGACCAAGAAGCTGGCTCGGGACTCGACAGCTCAATCTTTCTCTTGTTTTTCTTCTTTTTGGATACCCATTTGCTTGCTCTTCTTCAGTCATCGCGTTGCTCCGTCAGACAGACACCAGACAGACGGCATCGCAATTCGCAACCTCATCTCGGTCATCGCCAACCCGAATAATCAACGAAAAAGAATCTGCGTCCCCTTACATTAGCGCGAACCCCGCTCATTACTTGACAACATCATCAGCAAACCACGGCAACAACGACGGCATCTCGACTCTCTGCCATCCCGACCACAACATCGAACCGAGCTTACTTCTCCAGACCACGACATTGAGCCACGATCAATTCCTCCCGACTCATCCACGGGACCACGCTCCCATAGGGGTGTTCAATGCCATCCCCCTGACCACGAACGATCCTCGCTAGATTTCGCCGATCAGATAGCCTCGCCGCACGAGCTCTTATCGCCATATATATACCACCAGGAGACTCGCGAATAGTAGGAGTCGAGATCGATGGCCCCGACAATGCTGTCGCGACTGCACCTCCGACGGCCACCTTCTACGCCGTCGTCTCCCGTGCCCGGCCAAGTGAGCTCCTTGGAGTTGGACACAGCATCCCAGACCCCGATCGTTCCCGATGGCCGACCACAGTCAGCCAAATCAGCCAGCTCCTCACACCTTCCTTCTACCTTGGCGACGGTCCCGAAATCGATACCGAATGTTAGCGACAATGGAGGCATCAGTGCAACAGCTTCAGTCAGTGGGATGCCTTTACAGGTGTACCGCTCCGCCGGAAGTTCGGCTTCTAGTCAACCTTCGGAGAGTCACAAGTCGCGAACAGGAAAGCCGGCCCCGCCGCCCATCGACACAACCGCCGCTACTCGGGCGTCCTTGGCCACGAGGCTTAGTAAGATCTCGTCCTTCGTGACCCCAACCGACCTCAACAGCAGTGGCCCCTTCGGCAAGCGTCCCGCGGGGAAGCGGATGGCCAGCGAGCCGGCTGTTAAAGCTACCACTACCCCGGAATCCGCAAAATCCAAAAAGTCTTTGCCCTTCCTCAAGAAACACTCGGTGTCCAACTTGTGGATGAGGAGGAAGACGGCGCAAAACCCACCGGATCTGCCGCCCTTGTCTTCCGTACCTGAGCCCACCTACGACCCGCGTATCCGGGGTACGAAAGTCCACGACTTCAGTGCGCCCAGAGCCAAGCGGACGACATCGCAGAATGAGGCTGTTGTCAGTCCCGTGAAAGGGTCACCAAGTGAAGATGCCACGTCCAAATCACCCGCAGCGGACCCGGGTACTGGCAGCACGTTGGTGGGCACGTCACAGTCCCTGGTTCCTGGCCCTAATGACGTTGCCGTGTCCTCTCCGTCGGTGGCGCAGGACTTGGAACTGACCAGGGTCATCAGCGATGTGCCATCAATACCTCAAGATAGCTTACCATCACCGACTTTGGACAAACCTTCGCCCGAGGAACAGGACGCGCGGCCACCGGTACAACTCAGGGATGACCCCGTTCCGGTCCTGGGTCCTTCGTCTTCGGTGGCATCTCAGGATACTCTGGCCGGAACGACAGCCGGCCCCAACGCCAATGCTTCCGTCCGGACCGCGAGATCTCGAAACCTATCTAAGCGATCCATGCGAGACTCTACCCTGTCAGGCATCCCGAAACACATGAAGAGCACGTCGTCTCGATTCAGTTTCGACATGATGGGGTCGGCTGATGAGGAGAAGGCGTTGGAAGAACGACATCGGCAGCGTCAACGGGAAAAGGGAGGCGGTGCCACAAGTGCGCTTAGGCAAGAACAGGACTCCAGGTTTGACGACCTGGAAGAGGAAGATTTCGACTATGACGCCATGATGGACGACGATGGTCTAGAAGAGCCCATTCCTGGAGTGAATGCGGATTACGAGGATGATTATGGGGAAGAGCCGATTCCGGGGGTTAACGCCGACTACGATGAGGAACCCATTCCCGGGGTTAACGCCGACTACGCTGATCTAGAGGAGCCAATCCCTGGTGTCAATGCCGACTATGAAGAACTTCCTGAGGAGGGTGAAGACGACGACGACTACGATCCGGATACCGACCCAGACAATGACCAAGAGAACTTTGCTGGGTTTGAGTTTCAGCGATCGAACAAGAGCTCAGGCCCAATCACTCCCCATAGTCCTGTCGTTGCCTCAACGCCCAGCAACGAGACCGACCAGCCCGTCGCTTCATCGGTAACGGAGAACAGTACTCCCGATTTACCAGAATGTGCCGCAGTCCCTGGCCAGGCTGCTCCCGCACCAACTCTTCCGATACCACAGCAATCATCAAGCCCCGAAACTGCTCGCGCACTAATTGCTCCCCAACCTGTTCCTATCGGGATGCCACCGACCAACCCCACTCGCAGAGAGGATGATAACGACATCTACTTTGATAATGGCTTGGCGGATGAACTAGACTTTCAGGGCGATGGCACCCATTTTGATGAGAACCTCTTCGATCTCGACGACACCGATCAATATGGCCGCCCGATCCCAGGTGCTTTTGCCAGGGCGGCTGAGCAGGCGCGGGCTCGGCAACTGGCTCAACTAGCGGAGTCCAATGCCGCAGCTGCCACTGGTGTCGACCCGGTGCAGTCAACGGTTGCCGGTTCCATGCATGCCCTGTCGACGGGAGATGATCTTTCTCCTATCCAGCTCCCTCAAATGCCTACTCAGGCCATGCAACAAATGTCGATATCTGGTCTCGACATGGCATACCAGGCTGCCCTCGCGGAAGCAGCACAAAGAGCAGCAGAATCCGGCAAGTTCCGGCGAAGTTCGTCACCTGCTATACCCGAGGAGCCTACCGTCACATCACCCACCGATTCGGCCCAGTCGCGAGACTTTGTACAGCAAAACGAGCTGGACGACTACGAGAACGACGACGATGGTTTTGGCAACGGCCTAGATGACTACGAATTTGACGACGAGGACATCATTGCCGAAGCGAACGCTAGTGCCTTAGCGAACGACCAAGAAGGCTGGTACGGTCAAGAATTCGGCTTCTACTCTGCTCCCATGGCCCAAGCAGGTTACGGCCACGGCAGCTCATCCTCCTCTAGCCGGAATAATACCGAAAACGAGAACCCCTTTCAGTATTCTTACGGTGGCTACTTCGGCCCCGCAGGCGAGGGCGTCTTTCGCTCCAAGAGTGGCCGCGTCGTCTGTCGCGAGCCTACCCTGACACCTATCACCGAAACGTCCGAGTACTCTAACCGTAACTCCATCATGAGCCTTAACCTTCCGCCATCCATCGATGCTCGCAACTCGACATCTCTGCAAAGTCCTACCCTGGCCCAGTTGGCCCTCATGGATGATGATGAGTTCGACTCGATTAACAAGCTGCGCAAAAAGACGTGGGCAAGCTCTCAAGCCAGCATCATGAGTTCCCGCGAGGGAAGTCCCCGGGCAGAAAAGGCACCGCAACCGCAACTGCAACCGCAACTTATTGACCCGGCTGCTCCTGGTTCGCCATTTGCTACCACGACCGGTGGCCATTTCGGGGCTGGTGTCCTTGGTTCTTCATATGATCCTAAAAGAAGCCCCTACTCGATGTTGAGCAGTTCGGTGCCGGGGAATGAGCAGGGACGGTCAATCAGTCCTACGCTTACGAATAAGATTCAAGCGGTTACTATGCCTATGGCGCCTGTTCAGGGGTTTGTGGCTCCTAATTCTAATGAGATGGGACTGGGATTGGGAGTGGGAGTGGGAGTGTCGCAGCAACCTTCGCTTCTTGGGCCGCCTGTTATGATGACCATGTCACCGGTGGGAGTAGGATTGGGAGCTGCACAAGGCTGTCCTCCCGTTGATGAGGAAAGCGAGGAGTATGAGACCGCGGGGGCCTCGGGACTGGGAGTGATGTCGAGTAATTCTCATAGTTCCCAGAAGCCGACGCAGCTTCAAGAAAATGCTGGGATTAATGGTAATGTTACCGGTGGGGTGACATATGATGATCCTTCTTCTTTGGGGAGAAGGACTTCTAAGAAGATGGTTGGGTGGGCTTGAGACTTGAGGCAGAGTTGGATATATCCTTGTTGTTTGTCCGTTGTTGTTGTAGTGGAGGAACGGGGGTGGGAGGAGAGGAGACAGTTGTATATACCTAGCTTTGCTGCTTTTTTTGGATACAAGATACTAGATACCATAGCGAATTTGATGTTTTGACGTTAATGTTGATGATGTATATTGGACGAATGCAGCCAGCTAGCTGCGTTGACATGCGTGGTTCTCACTGTGTTGACCAGTCTACCATTACCATCATCACCATCGCCCCATCCCTCATCCGTCATGCCTTTCGCCCCCCGCGATGGCTCAAACAAATACAAGATTATAACCACTTGCCAAAGCAAGAAATATCACATACGACCATACCCACTGGAAAACTCGGGATCCCGTCCGCTCTCCCATAGATAAGCCAGTGAGGGCTAGACTAGTAGTTGGGTCGGTGACGACCAGCGAATCCCTGGTGTTGTATGTTTTTTGATCTTTTGTTTTGTTTTTCGTGCATCTTTCTACCCCCGTTTTCTCTGTTTTTTTTGTGGGTCTTTGGACAATGCGAATCAACGAGTCTTAGGCACTCTCTGCCGGCCGTTGTTCTTCATAAGTGGTGTGTGTGTTGGTCATAAGCACATACGGCCATAGATAGTGGAAAACTGTGAATAGGGTGAACGACCACGAACGAATCCAGTGATAATGGTGATGTTGTATTGAGTGAGGTCTGACTGTGCAAGTCTGGAGGTCCCGGGGAGGAGTGATCTTGCCCTTTTCTTTTGTCCTTTCCTTTGTTCTACGGGTCCCGCCATATACTGGCGGCTCGCCCACTGGGCGATTCGATTAGAGGTGTTGGGCCGCGTTTACGCTACGGGCAACACATGATTTATACTGGCAATAGGCCTCGGGTTGCCCTCAGGCTAAGGGTCTTTTTGGTGGACATTTAGGGCACTGCTTTTATCTTTGTACGCGAGATTCACCGATGGGGCACGTCTCATGCCTACGGAAGGCGGAAGTAGACGTTAAAAATAACAACAACAACACCAACAAAAAAAAAAAAGTCTGGAGGTCTAAAAGTAGGAGGTCCCTGTGCGGTGGGGCCATGGCCAGAGGGAGCCATGGCTGGCCACACGTGACACGGGACACCTCCAACAAAAACTCGGGATCCCGTCCACTCTCTCATAGATAAGCCACTAATCGGTAGTTTATGTATAGGAGTCAAAAGGATATTAAATAGGCCTTTTAATTACGTGGTAGGGTCAAGAAACTGAACAACTATCTCTTGTATCTACGGACGGAGGTATAACGGTGAGTGGGGAGCTGGCGCTAAAAAGATTAATATAATTGGGCAGATTACAAGAAAAGTTGACCGTTCTGACACTGCGGCTAGCCTCGTTAACGTTTGCCAAAGCACAATATCCGTGTTACGAACTTAAGCAACGCAGGGA